GGAGGCGTTTGTCCTGTGTCTTCAGGTCCAGTCTGGGCACAGGGATGGGGCGGGGGGGGGAGGACAGAGCAAAGCTCCCCAAACGGGGAGACGCGAGCCCGGCTGCCGCGCCGGCGCCGGCGGGTTCTGGTTCCACGGGGCCTGGCCCAGACGGGGGCCTCTGAGGACGTCGCTCCCCCGCGGACGTCGGACCAGTCGCCTGAGACCCTGCGGTGAGGTCAGGGAGCGTTTTGGTGCAGGACCCTCAGAAGTCACTGCATTCGCAACACGCGTGCTCATGGGCCGCTCGACTTGCGTTGCGGGGATGCTGCGGGCAGGCCACGCCCAGCGACGTGTTTGTGACGATGAGCCTGACACCCTCGCTGCCCTCGGGGGCCGTGTCTTGTGTGCGGGCCCCTCTCCTGGCGCCCTGTGCTCCCCGGGGCCTGGCAGCCCGCGCTCCGTGTGCGCAGAGGGTGGGAGCCCGAAACGCAGGGGCAGTCACCCTCGAGCGTCTCTGAAAATCGTGTCCCCATGGAGTTTCGCTTTTGAAGTTTGACCCGCTCAGCACTAATATCCTCAGAGACCAGGGCTCTGTCTTTTTTAAAACTGGCGGCCGCTGTCCCCATGGCAAATGCCCCAGGCTCCTCATTCGTTGTCCAGCGAGTCTTTGCCGCCCACGCTGGGCGAGAGGCTCAACGAGTCTGAGGGCGTGGCCGGCGTTTGACAGAGACGCGCAGGTTCGCCCTGCGGGAGTTTGCGACGCCCGTCGCCTGGGGCGCCGTCGGGCCGATGGCGCAGTGCTGCTCGGGCCGCGCTGCCTGAGGAGGGCGGGAGGCGCGTTCACGGGTGATTTCACATCTGTCACAGCCCCGTCCGCCGATCCGGTGCCGACGTCATTTTGTTAAATATTGAGGGTGAGCGAGGACAGTTTAACATTTTACGACGTAAGTGCCTCGGCAAAGCAGCGGCTTCTGGGAACAGCCACAGCCTCCCCGTGTCCGGTCCCATGGCGGTGGCGGCCGCTGGTGGCCCTGAGGAGGCCTCCGTCAGAAGCCGGGCGAGGTCTGCGCAGAGCAGGGCGGCCGGCCGGCCGGCACCGGGCGGGGGGTGGGGGCCGGGTGCGGAGGGGCTGCAGGAGGAGCCTTGGCGCTCCGGCCGACCGGCCGGCTGACGCGCGGCGGCCCCCAGCGTCCGTCCCCGGAACGTCCCTTCCCGTCCGGGCCCTGGCGCAGGGCCTGCGCTCGGCCGCAGCGTCCGGTCTCCGAGTCGGAAGGCAGTGGCGTGGCCGGGGTGCGGGCTTTGGCCACCGCAGAGCCAAGGGACCGGGAGCGGGCCGTCCGGCCGCTCAGCGCCTCTGCCCCCAGCTCTGTAAAGGCACCGGGCCTACGTCCGCGTGGCTGCGGCCGCCCCGAGCACCTGCGGGGCGGCTCCTCTCGTGCTCCTGGGCGTAGCAGGTCCTCGGTCTCTAAAGCCGCTGTCCGTGACTGACGTGCGACGGGCGACCTCGGCACGTGCTGTGGACCTAGCCCGAGGGACCTCGTCTCTGCGTCCTCACCCGCGTCGGGCGCTGCAGCTCCAACCTTCCCCGGAACGTCCAGGTGAAATGTCAGCGTCAGCCTGACATCCGCGGGCGAGGTCTCCACTTTATGGGCGGCGCCGCGTGGGGGCGCGAGGCCCCATGTATAAAATACCCTGCGGCCGAGGGTCCACGTCGGGGCGCGTTTGTGAGGGGCAGAGGGGGCTCAACCCGCAGGGCGGCACGGAGTCGGCTCCACGCAGCAGGCCCAGGGCAAGCTGGTGTCCGGGGCTCTGCCACCCACAGGCGGGTGTAGCGCAGGAAGGGGGAGGGAGGAAGAGGATGTGGGTTTACAACCAGGCGAACCGGACAACGCACGCTCACAAGTTACCCGCCTGAGCTGCAGAGCGAAGCGGCGTCACTCACGGGGTGTTTTGTGGGCAAACCTCAAAATCCAGCTCTGGCGCGCCCGGGGCGCGGAGTGCGGGCGTCCGCCTGCCCGCTGCCTGCCGCTCGGGGTTCCCATGGGCCCCCGTCAGGCAGGCCGGCGCCGGCCACGTCGCTCCCAGGCGCCTGGACGCCCGTCGCTGCTTGTGAGCGCGGTCTCCACGTCCCCACTCCGGGGGCTCCCTGCTCCTACCCGGCTTCTCTCCCCCGCCGGCCGTTTCTGAGGAAATGTAGCTGGAAGGCGTGCTCCTTCCTGCCGGCCACAGACCTGAGCAAACTCGACCCGAGCGGCCCTCTGCCTCCCCTCTTGGCCCTGGTCCCGCCCCTAAGGCTCTGCTCACCTGGGTGGGTGGCCGCTGCTCTGCGCCCCTCCCTCTCGACGTACCTTGGACCCCTGGGTCAGGTGGCACCCATCCTGCTCTCCCTGCTCCGCGCTGGGCAGTTGTCGAACCGTTTTGTGACAAGTAAGCGGTACCTTGGGTCCCTTTTAGGCCGGTGGCCCCCCACCCCGTGCTGGCTCCTCGGGCGTTGGAGGGAAGCTGGCTGGCCACCCACGCGAGGACTCGCGGGCTCGGTGTTTCTTCAGGAGCCCCGGCCATCCCTCCCTGAGACCCATCTCCCACGCTTCTCCTTCGAAATGGGGACCGCGAGCTTCCTGGGGAAGACGCGGGGGTCCTTTCCGGTCGGGCAAGGAGTGAAGGGAAAGCAGCAGCTGCTGAGCTGGAGGCAGAAACGCGGCTCGGATTCGCTCATCTGCACCCAGCGCACTTTCCCCCGCTGCCTCGCGTGTCTCCCTGCCGCTGCTTCCAGGCCGAGGGTGCGCGACTCTGAGCCCCCGGGTGGACCAGCAGCCCCGTGGAGTCGGCCTCAGTGATGAACGGTATGGCCCCCTCTTTTCTCTCTTTTTTTAAACAGATTTTATTTATTTATTTTCAGAGAGAAGGGAAGGGAAGGAGGAAGAGGGAGAGCAGCATCCATGCGCGGCTGCCTCTCGCGCGCCCCCCACCGGGGACCTGGCCCGCAACCCAGGCCGGCGCCCCGCCTGGGGAGCGAACCAGCGGCCCTTTGCTTCGCAGGCCGGCGCTCCGTCCACTGAGCCCACCAGCCAGGGTGGCCCCCCTTTTCTGGACACGAAAGGCAGGAAAGGCTCAGACTTGAAGCTGGAGAGGAAAACCCGTCTTCCCTGTGAACATCGACCTCCCATCCGCCCCGGCCCCCCCGGCCCCGGGCGCTCAGCTGAGCCGTCTTTGTCCGTCAGCATCAAGAAGTTACGAGGGAGAGAATGTGAGGTCTAGTTTTAATTAACTTCGCCATCGATTCTCCCTGTGTTTGAGTCCCTGTTCTTGAGTGACAGGGAGGGAACCCTCGAAGATTAATGATTGTTCTCAGGGGTTTTTCTGGACCAGGTCCCAGAGACGTGTGGTTTCTCGCTTTTCCCACCTCCCAACTCCTCAGCGTCCCTGTTCCCGCCCCGACACGTGGGCGCGTGGACACGCACACGCCTCGGTGCACACGTGAGGAGGCCAGGCGACTGCGCGGTGTGCGTGGGTCGACCGGAACAGTCCTGATCTGCAGCGTTGCCTAGTTTGATGTCTTTCTTTTTAACAAAGTCACTCATAGAAAACTTTATGTGCCTTGAATAAAAATTCTGTTACCAATAAATGAAGAAGAAAGGGATTAGGGGCCTTTAAGCTGTTGATATACTTGTATTTCTCTTCCCACAAATTACTGTAACAGGATGTGAAAATATACAGCAATATTTTATGAAGTGAGAGAAAACTATCATACTTTGACACTTGAAAATGTGAAATAGAATGCTGTTGGTGTAATTTTTAGTGAGCTGTAATAAACTGCATTTTTCCTCTAAAATGTTACCATTCTGGCCCCTCCTCAGCTAGTTGGATTCATCCAATTTCTGTTTGTGAGCTTTGAATGTAAACATCTTAATGCATTTTAATGAACTACTCTGTCTTCTCTCTGTTGTTAATAAAATTCTGATTGATCCCAAATCTGAGTGTTTATTACAGTCACAGAAAAAATGTCTAACCAATACCTGTTCCTGCTATTTTAATGGTGATTTTTTTTTTCTTCCTGGATATGTTTTTGTACTTCAGCTCTACAGGGACTAGATTAAAAGTTTCTTTCAGTTATAGAAGAATCCTACAGAAACCAATGGGATTTAACTATATGAGATATTGATCCAATGTTGCTGCTTTTCCATTTTGCTTCCCGATACAGCGGCGGATTCCTGGGCCCCCCGGTTCCCCCTCGGCCGGGGGGCTGTGTGATCTCTCCGCTGGGCTGTCGAGAGGCCGCTCAGGACTCCCGCCCCTCCCCTCGGGCGTCTTTCCCGCAGCTCCTCCGCCGCCGCCGGCAGTTTCCTGCGGGAAAGCCAGGCCCCTCTCTGCCCCGCCGCGCCCCCCCCCCCCCCCGTTTCATCCCCAGCACCCGGGCCCGCGCCCGGAATGTGGCGGACACATTTTTTTAGTGCATTTTCCCTTGTTAGTGTCCTTTTATCTTATACTCACTGATGCCCTGAGTACCATTTAAACTATTTATAAAATTAAATGTGAAAACACAAAGATGAATGGTTTGACTTTGCTATAATAACCAGGTATTTGGAATAAACTAAAAGCATTTTTTTTAAAACCCAGCCAGCAATGGCTCTGTCTGCCCGAACAGGTAAGAGGATCTATCAAAACAGCAGACTTGGCAGCTGAGGACACCTGGGCCAGGGCGCAGGTCACAGGGAACAGAGCGACACGCAGACTCGCTCTAGGAAAAACATCTGTTTTATTTGTATTTAGAAAGCACACGCAGCCATTTATTGGGGTGAGAGAGAAAATAAGTGAGCATACAAATTCATTTCCCAGGACACGGCGTCTCTTTCCAGGAAATACTACACAAGCCTGTTAAACATTTGTATTTCTTTTATCTCCGCACATAATCCGCTTACGTGTGTAGATACAGGTCGCTGCTCGGTCCTCGGCCTCGTCTCCCCGGAGCTGCAGTGTAACCCCGCTCCCGGGAGGCCGCCCCCGGGTGCTCTCACAGCTCACGCCACCGTCTCTTTTCTCTGGGTTCGTCTCTGGTGACAAGTAAGGATACTGGTGAAGGAAGGTTTCCCCTTAGTTCTTGGCTTTTTCTTTAACTTTTTCTGATTTTTGAGTGAGATTCCCAGCTCTTCCATGATGGCGTTGAAGGAGAGACACTGGGGAGCAGGAAACGACAGGGCGTCAGTGTCAGCGCGCCCCCCGCCCCGGCTCTGTCTCCTGCCCACGCCTGCGAGTCCGCGATGCCGGCCTCGCCGGGCAGCCCCAGCCCGCCCCCACGCCCCCTCCGCCCGCGGGCCGCCCGCCTTCCCTGCGGGGAGACCGGGCCAGCACGCTGGCCGGGCAGACTTTGGGGCTGCGTTCTCAAAGGCAGTGACACAAAACGACCCAGGAAGTCTCTCAAAACAGACAACTTACCTTTGCTGAGACACCAAAACAGAGTTAAATTAAGTCATTTCCCCCACCGAGGTGATCCAAACATTGAGTCTTATCAAGGCACATGAGCACGTCAGTAATGCTATAGAAAGTGAACAAACCTTCTCTACACCAAGGCTTTGTTTTTTTCTCCCATGAAACCTTACTTTGTTCCTAAAATAAAATCTAATTCTTGATGACTTTCCTTTCTGATAAAGAAAAAGAAAAAAAAAAACAATTTTAAATTGTATTATTTTTCTCCACAAAGACACAGATGTGCCAGCAGCCACGATGCAGGTTGGTGGTTGAAATGAAAACAGCGCAGTGGACACAGCGAATGTGACACACAAGGCAGCACGATGGCGAGGCGCCGGGCATGCCACACGGACACATGGCACCTGCGTGCCTGCGAGTCACACCACCCCCACTCCCGGGCACGGGACAAGCGGACCCCGAGCGCATTCCTTCCAGCCAAGGCAGGATCTTGGGCAGGTTGCTGCTTGGAGGGATTTCTATAAAGGAGTATGGTTTGGTTGCGATTACTTAAAAAAATATTTATTTGTAGAGAGGAAGAAGGGAAGGAAAAGGGGGGAGAGAAACATCCCAGTGTGGCTGCCCCTCATGCGCCCCCTGCTGGGGACCTGGCCCGCAGCCCAGGCCTGCGCCCTGATGGGGAATTGAACCAGCGACCCTTTGGTTTGGAGGCTGGTGCTCAGTCCGCTGAGCCGCTCCCGCCCGCCCTGGTTGAGGTTACTCCTAAAACATAACGTAAAAAGAGCCTACGCCTTTGGTACAGTGTAGGGAAGAGGAAGCATTCCGTAAACCCTACCGCGAACTCACCAGTGGATACGCCTGGAAGTCAAACACCAGCCTGCGCCCCGTGAGGGCTCTGGGGTGCACAGCCGGAGAGCCGGAGACGGCCCCCGCCAGGGGGGTGGGGGGGGTGGGGGGGTGGGGGGGAGGGGAAGCGGAGCATGTGTCTCGTGGGCTCCTTACGTTTCATGCGCAGCGTGTAGTTTTGCAAAGCTGCGCTCTCTTTGGTTCCATAAAAGAGTTAATGTTGTTTAAGGAAGTAGCATTCTTAATTTTTCTACTTTATTTGAGGACCAGACTTATATGTTTAGATCTTAGATACAAATGACTGGTCTTTCAGACCTGCGCCTCTAAAAACACTTAACTGTTTGCCTACGGCTTCTTGTTTCTTTTACACATACGTATTCATAACATTTGCATTTCATTCCTATTTTCCTATGATACCGAACAATAAAAATTGAGGTCTGTGTGCTAATGATCTTCCCAGGGGTAAGCTTGTGGCTTCCGTGAACTGAAGGGGGGTCATGACATAAGGCGGCGTCCAGGAGTGTCCTCCGTGATTCCTCCTTCAGACGTGTCCCAGCAGGAGCGCGGCCCCGGCAGACGAGGGTGTTTGTGACGTGATCGGCCGCGGCGTTTACCTGTTGCCGCTGGGCCCAGACGCCTGTTTCGCAGAGTCGCTGCGGCGGGTGGTCTGGGGTTTGCAACCTTCGCTCAGAAATCCGTTCTGGTGGGAGGCGGGTGTGTCGCCCGGGACATTTCTGGGTTTGGGACAGTCATTAAAAAGCGAAGGAGACGGAGAAGGAGGAAAAAATTCCGAGAGTTTGACAAATGCTCCCGCGCACGCCCCTCGCGGCACCCCGCGAGGAAGGGCCAGCGCGCCCCGTGCGCGTTCGGAGACGCTCACCGCGCAGGACCGCAAGTGGCTGTCCCCAGACACGCGGCTCACGCTGCCCCTCGGCCTCCCGGACGCAGCTGCGTTCGCGCGCGGTCCCCAGAGCGCGATCCATTATTAAATCACTATATTCTTCTCTTTTATGAAGTCGCTGTAAAGAGCTTTTCTTACAGATTCTTTCCCACAAAATATGTAAGAAGTTCCCATCTTTCTGTTTTACCTGGACTCAGCCATTTAATTTTAGACATTTCACTTCATTTTACGTTGAAACAGCTAAAGTGAGAGCCCTGGTGTGGGCCTGGCGGAGGCGGGGGGTGGGGGGTTACCCGGCGGGCGGGGCCTCCGTGGGACCCCGCCTGTCGCCGGCCGGTCACCAGCGCTCTCACCTGGACAGTGCGCGGCAGTGGCGTTTGCTGTGAAGCGGGAACTGTGCTCCAAGTTCCGTGTTGCCTCCAAACACCGACACCCGTCCCCGTTCTTCCGAGTAGCCGGGGACTCCTTTCTCTGAACACAGTGACTTAGAGCCCCGTCCCTGGTCGTCGGTCACAGCCGGGGTTTCCCTTGGATTTTCACTTTGTCGTCAACTGTCGGAAAGAAAACGACCAGCTGCCGGCGACCTTTGTGCTCGCGAGTGTCCTGCAGGGCGAGGAGCCCGGGCGGCCTCCAAGGCGCCACCACGGCGCGCTCTTGCGTCCGCAGGAAATGCAGCCGCAACGGTCCCCTGGGCCCGCAGCGGCACGAATCCCCGCACTCGGGCCGCTCCCGACACACCCGAGTACAAAGGGGGGCGCGCGTGCTCGCGAGGGAGCGTGATCCTGCACGAGAGAACGTGAGTGAGCGTGAAAGCGCTCAGGGACGCGAGCGAGCGAGCCGAGGGCCCCAGGTGGGTCCGCAGAGGCGGCCGCGGGGGCGGGGCCTGGGCCCCGGTTTCTCCTGCCTCTTCGGCCGAGGCCTCCCGCTCCGCTTCGCTCTCCTCCGGAACCGCTGGCCGCGTGGCCCTTGGATCCGCCCCCGATGTTCCGTTCCCCAGGCCTGGCGGAGCGGGGCGCGAGGACCCCGGATGCGCACAGGTCGCCCCAGAGGCCAGCGAGGAACCGTCTGGTTCTTCCGCTTTGAACCTGGAATAACTGCCCCGGAGAAAAGCCTGCAGGTGGAGAAGGGCCTTTTCAGCGGCGGGGAAGCTCCTGCTGGACTTGGACTTCAGTGTGTGACCGCGAAGGACCGGGGCTGGGGGTCTGGGATCGGCAGCCACTGGGGCGAGCGGGGCCTCGGCTCGCGGCGCACCGGCTCCGCCACTTCGCTCGCTTGGGCGCTCGGGCCGGCGGCGCGGGTGCAAGCCTTCGAGGGTTCTTCCCACAAATTATTGTTTAGAAGCTCAAGCCTGGCCAAGGATATAACCTAAATCTTACACTTTGTATGGCTTTCTACCTTTTAAAGGCAATTTATTTATAAATGCTGGAAGTGGTCTGTAATATTGTCTGGTAAATTTCCACATCACACGTGGAAGAAGAATATAGATATATTGTCATTTTATAGACGAAAAGCTCTTATTCTGTGTGCACACCTGCTTTAACCTGGAGGTGAGCTATGATTTGAAGTCTTTTTGCAAAGACCGTTCCCGGTGGAATGTCGAGCACCAAGGAACATTGCCGCCTTGGTTTGGTCGGATGAGGGCCAGCCTTGGCAGAGGCCGCGGCTGGGCGATTTCCTTTTTGAACAAGAAGGTCGGAGCATTCCCTTTCCTGCCGTTTTTGACCCCAGGGTCGGACGTGGGACGAGCTGTCGAAATGTTTCGGGGCCGCAGTTCGGAAGCTTTGCAGGGCACAAGGACAGAGGAATCCTGTTCATGCATTCGCTACATTGCGACTCTGAAAAACCGAGTGGCCTGTCTGCACAGGCATCTGACATCTTTCAGGGGACAGTCGAGGACCCCGGAGCGGAGGTCAGGGTCACGACCCCCAGCCCCATGGAGGGCCCAGACGGAGGTTCTCGCGTGGACACCCCCTCTGTGGGGGGTTCTGGGGTCCCAACCTCAGAATCTGGGCACCTTTAACTCTGCTTTTATCAGTTTTCCGAGGTTTTCCAGAAACCCTGGGCCATCTTTCATAAAGTCATCCCTGGACTTAAAAAACAAATGGATCTGAGAGGTTGAGGGTCCGCCCCCGCGGCGGCTTCCAGAAGACGGGCCGCGAGGAATCGTGCCCGGGCGGACGGTAACCTGCTCCTCCCCCGCCCGCCTAGTGCGGCGCGCCCTCCGCCGCGCTGCCCATCTGCCCGGGGCCTGCACCTGGCGGCCGGGCCCGCGGCTTTGCCCCGCAGGCCCCAGGTTTGCTCTTCGCGGCCTCGCTGTGGGCGGAGCCTAGAGCCGCCTGCCCCCGCCCGAGCTCCTTCAGTCTGTACAAATGTGCCTGTGGGGACAGGTTACTCGGGACACCAGACGCACGAAGGTCACCTTTCTTGGGCCTGGGCTTGTTTGAGGATTTCATTTAGAAAAGTTTTTCTTCTATTAAAATAAATGTAAGTATATTGTGGAATGGCATTGTGTGTGTGTGTGTGTGTGTGTACATATATAAAATTATTCTGAAAGAATTCTTCCAGAAGGCTTTTTTAGCTGGGGAGGCTGCCCAGGGGTAGACCCCTGAACTCTGGGGGGGGAGCAGGGGCACGTCCATTCTCTTCTACCATGAGGGAGAATTTCACGCAAAGCTTTGTAAAGTGAAAACCTTGATGATTTCATGGGAAACTCAGAACACTGAGACAATGTAATATTTGGTATTAATCCTCCTGTTTTTTTCCCCAATTCTTCTGAAACTGAAACCCCTTCTCCCACTTTTAAAGGTACAGGAAGGGCTTTTATATGCAGCGCCCTCAGGGGAGAGACAAAGAAGGGGAGGGGAGGGGGCAGGACCCGACTGGCAGCTCTGGGATCCGTGAGTCGTGGATCGTGGCGCCAGGCGTGGCCTGAGCTGAGAAAGCTGCTTTAGCGCCCTGAGGTGTGGGGACGGGGAGGGGGACGGGGCTGCCCTGTGCTGCTTCCCAGGAGAAGGCCCAGCCAGGATGCCCAGGACACCTGGGGGAGCCCCTCACCTGCCACATCTGAGGCAAGGCTCCCAGGGGCCGGGCAGGTAGACATGGGGGCCTGGGGCACAGGGGCGCCGCGCCCACTGTCTGTCCTTCCCCCAGAGGGAGCGGTGACCAACGTCCCCTCTGTCTGCCGTGGCCTCTGAAGGGGGCTCAAAAGCAGCTGAAAATTTTCCCTCTGCAGAAGGGGCACAAAGCGGCAGCCGGGGAAAGAGAGGGGCTGCGGAGAGGCCCACACAGCAGCCGCCTGCAGAGGGGCGACCTCAGGGGCCCCCCGCCCGGCTGGGGGAGCAGTGCCCTCGCCTCCAAGGCGAAGGAATGCATCTGCAGGCTGGATGGCGGGGCTTGGCAGGCAAAGGAAAGCCTCTTCACACAACTGTGGAAATACGTGATTAAAGAGGCTTCTCCAAATACCTTGTT